CTAAAAAGTAAACTTTAGTTCTCTAGCCTCCAAATAGCCTTCCTATCCTCCATTCCCCACAACAGTAGTGGCATTAGAAGGGCCTGACAGAAGGAGAGTGGTGGCTGGCTTTTTTTTTTTTTTTTAGACGGGGTCTCACTGTTGCCCAGGCTGGAGTACAGTGGTGTGATCATGGCTCACTGCAGCCCCCAACTCCTGGGCTCAAGCAATCCTCCCACCTCAGCCTCCCAAGCAGCTGGGACTACAGGCATGTACCACCATACCTGGCTAATTTTTTAAAAATTTTTTGTAGAGATGAGGTCTCACTATGTTGCCCAGGCTGATCTCAAACTCCTGGGCTCAGGTGATCCTCCTGCCTCAACCTCTAAAAGTGCCGGGATTATAGGCCTAAGCCCCCATGCCTGGCCCACAGTCCTTTCTTATAGATAAAGAAAGAGGCTCGTAAAGGGGCAAAGTAGGTTATTGAAAGTTATGTGAGGGGTAAGTGGTGAGATGTTCTTTCCACAGTGTCCCCTTTCTTTTTTCTTTAGACCTGGTCTTGCTCTGTCACCCAGGCTGGAGTGCAGTGGTGCCATCATAGCTCACTATAGCCTTAAATTCCTGGGCTCCAGCAATCCTCCTGCCTCAGCCTCTCAAAACGCTGGGATTACAGGCATGAGCCACCACACCCACACTAAAAGAAACTTTAGTTCTCAGCCTCCAATAGCCTTCCTAATCCTCCATCCCCCAAAGTAGTGGGCATAGAGGGCCTGACAGAAGGAGAGTGTGGCTGGCTCAGTTCAGCCATCCCTGCTGCAGGAGGAGCAGCTCAGAGCCCAGAGGCATCTGTAGAAGGAAAGACTGACAGCTCTTGGCAAGCCTTGGCCCTTGGCCTCACCGAACTTCAGTGGGTGCTGGTGCAGTTAACCTGCTGAGAGTTCCTTCTCGGCACTGGTGGTTCATGATGTTATTCTTCCTATGCAGATGTCCCTGGGCTTCAGTAGGGCTTGGAGGGTTCCCCTAGCACCAAAGAGTAAAGAACAAAAAGTTGGGAATGATCCATGGAGAGCATTCTCTGGTGCATCATCATGCCCCCATCCTTTCCCTACAGGGGTGCTTGGTGTCTTCCACCCAGCTGAGCTGCCCAATGCCCTCTCTGGAGACCCTTGTCAGCCAGTTGTAAATCTCTCCCAGCCTCCGGCAAGATCATTTCTGCCCTTGAATGATCACCTGGGAGGTGTTGACTAAATCTGCTGATGCCTACCTTTAGCCCCACTCTCCTTCCCAAGGTTAGGCCCCTCAATAACCAGGATGAAAACACGTATGTGAATTGCCTGGATTCTCAGCAGTGTCATGGCAGCTCACAGTCAAGACGACCTTGAGGATCACTGGAGCTCATGCAGTCCTGCTAGCCCCTACACCTACTCACGTGGGCAGATGAGGCCTTGGTCCTGGGGAGCTGGGTCAGAAGGAAGGCAGGGATGCCACAAATACCTTCATCTTCCAGGGAAGTAGAGGGAACAGGAGTGCCTGACTACCTCAGCCTGGGGACCTTAGCTCCTCTTCTCACTATCAGCAGAGAGTTGTTACTGAACAGTGAAAGGGGAGGGCTTCTTTGTCGATCCCATCATACCTCTGACCTTTTGGTCCTCCTGCAGATGCTCCAGTGGCTTTGACCGCTATCGCCAGGAATGGATGGACTATGGCTGTGCACAGGAGGTGAGAAGCATAAGTATCGGCTGCAATTCCTGTGCCAGGTGGTAGGGAATAGGAGGGAAGCCGGTAGAGCCCGCTCCTGCAAACTCCTCTCAAGGTGGCATTAGCTCTTGGCAATATCCTCCCCTCTATCTGAGATTTCTTTTCTAGACTGCCCTGAGACAATGAGACCCACTTTGGAAGGTTTCAGAGGGCTCTGTGGGTCTTTGAGGCGAGCATTCTGATGCCTTGGCCTTAAGTGGGCAGCTCTCAAGGAATTCTTTTGGTGCATGCAGAGGGGATGTTAGGCATGGCCTCAGCCACTGCTGGCTCCTCTGGGAGACTGTGCACCTGCTGACATTAATGACGCACCTGCTGAGCCTCTGGTCCTCTGGCTTTTGAGGAAGGCAGTCATTCTGGAAGTAAGGAGGGTGGTTCCGGGCATCTCCTTTTTAGAATCCCATCCAGGTTCCTTCTCGCTGCAAGAATTTTCCAGTACACTCAACATTGATTCTGGATGGAAAGCATCCTATTCTCACACCATAGACTAACACAGATGAGTCTATTCATCTGTGCCCTCTTTTTTTTTTTTTTTGTTTTTGCTCCCTCCCTTTATCTCTTCTTGCAAAGCAAGCATGCTGCATGTGCCAAGCATGTGACTGTGAGCTGCCCTACCCTCGCTCTTATTTAGGCTGACCCAGAAGCTGGGGCCATTGCCCCCATTGATCAGAGGGGAAAATGGGGGCTCAGAGAAGTTTAATGAATTGGCCTGCATCTTGCAGCTAGAAGGTGATGGGCCCAGCATTTAAATATCAACTCTCCAGACCCCATGGCCATGCACTCACCACGGTCTATTTATTAGTCTGAGTCTGGGCTTAAAAAAAAGTCTTGTCCAGCCGCCTACTTCTGAAGTTAGCTGTTGGTGACCGTTCAGATTTGCTCTATTTATTTGAGATTGGCATCTCAGCTCCTTCCTTGAGGAAGGATTTGAAGCAGCTGACAGATAAATTGCCCTGTAAGATAAGATGCTTTCAGGATGAAGGGAAAGGTGTAAATGCATTCAGGACACAGCACTGGCTCTCTCCTGCAGGCAGAGGGCAGGACGTGCGAGGACTTCCAGGATGAGTACCACAACTCAGCCTCCCCTGACACTCCCTTCAGCCCCTATGATGGAGACCTCACCACTACCTCCTCCTCCCTCTTCATCGACAGCCTCACCACAGAAGGTAAGTCCTGAGCCCAGGTGGGGAGCAGAGAGGAGGCCAGGAAGGAGAGCTACCCCCCTGGGGCCCCCTCTCTCTCTCCCTGACAGCGATGATCTTATGGGATGGGAATAGCCCCATCCTTTTATAGCTAAGGGGGCCTGAAGTTCAGACAGTTTAGGTCACTTGCTGGTGAGAAGCAGAGGCAGATTCAGAACTCGAACTCTACTCCTAGGCTCTAACCACTGTGCTGGCCCACATCAGGGCTACAGACAGAATTCACTGTGAAGAGGGGAAAAATTAATATCCCAGCCCAGTGCCAGGTATTTTATATAACTTATCTCCGCTAATCTTAATAGCAGTCCTCACAGAACCTGAAAAGGCTCATCCCTGTAGCAGATATGAACTCAATCCATACACTCAGGTGTGAGAGAAAGGCTGCCTTGTTTTTCTGTAAGTTCCCCCAGCTTCTCACTTTCAGGCCCTGGAGTGATGGATGGGGAATTCCACCTCAGCTGTCCATCCACCCTGACTATTCAGGTCTGGCCGTCCATTCAGGGGCTTCCCTGCTACCTGGAGGCCTGGGGGTCTTGGTTGAAGCTGCCAGAGGTCCATCCCCCTGAATGCACCAGGCAGTGTCCCAGGAAGCCTTGTGCAGGCTCCTCTGGTCCCAGGCCTCAAATCTCTTCCCTTTCTCCCATGCCCCCTCCAGGATTCTGTAGCTATGTCTGAGACATTCCTCTCTTTTATCCTTTTTCAATACCCTGCATCGCAGCCAGGCACAGTGGCTCACACCTGTAATCCCAGCACTTTGGGAGGCTGAGGTGGGCGAATCACTGGGTTCGAGACCAGCCTGGCCAACATGGTAAAACCCCGTCTCTACTAAATATGTAAAAATTGGCCGGGTGCGGTGGCTCACGCTTGTAATCCCAGCACTTTGGGAGGCCGAGGTGGGCGGATCATGAGGTCAGGAGTTTGAGACCAGACTGGCCAACACAGTGAAACCCCATCTCTACTAAAAATACAAAAATTAACTGAGCATGGTGGTGGGCGCCTGTAGTCCCAGCTACTCGGGAGGGTGAGACAGGAGAATTGCTTGAACCTGGGAGGTAGAGGTTGCAGTGAGCCAAGATCATGCCACTGCACTCCAGCCTGGGTGGCAGGGTAAGACCCTGTCTCAAAACAAAACAAAACCCCGCATCCAGCTTTGAAAGCCCCGTCCCTTTAGGCTAAGACTGAAAGACTTGTGGGTTCTTTATAGCCTCCCCTGAACCAAATATCTGCTTGAAAGGAATAATGATAAGAAGGAAAGGAAAGAAGAAAAAAGTTAATATTTTAAAACATTATTCAGCCACTATTTTCTTCCCCCTCTAACCCTATGTTAGGATTTTTTTTTTTTTTTTTAGACGGGGTCTCACTGTTGCCCAGGCTGGAGTACAGTGGTGTGATCATGGGCTCACTGAGCCCCCAACTCCTGCGCGCTCAAGCCCAATCCTCCCACCTCAGCCTCCCAAGCAGCTGGGAGTACAGGCCAGTGCTACACCATACCTGCTAATTTTTTTTAAAAATTTTTTGTAGAGATGGAGGTCTCACTATGTTGCCCAGGCCCTGATCTGCGAAACTCCTGGGGGCTCACGGGGCTCAGGGGTGATCCTCCTGCCTCAAACCTCTAAAGTGCCGGGATTATAGGCCTAAGCCCCCATGCCTGGCCCCACAGTCCTTTCTTATTAGATAAAGAAAGGAGGCTCGTAAAGGGCAAAGTAGCGTTATTGAAAGTTATGTGAAGGGGTAGGTGGTGAGATGTTCTTTCCAAGTGTTCCCCTTTCTTTTTTCTTTTAGACCTTAGTCTTTCTCTGTACCCAGGCTGGAGTGCAGTTGGGGTTACAATCTCAGCTCACTGCCAACCTTTTGCTGCCTCCCAGGCTTCAAGCAATTCTCCCACCTCAGGCCTCCCAAGTAGGCTGGGACTACAGCGCACACCACCACACCCGCGCTAATTTTTGCTATTTTTAGTAGGATGCGGGTTGTCGCCATGTTGGCCAGGCCTGGTCTCAAACATCCTGAGCTCGTGATCCACCCACCTCAGCCTCCCAAAAGTGCTGAGATTACAGGCGTGAGCACCGAGCCTGGTGTGTCCCCTGCCTTTCCTAGAAAACTAGAGAACAAGGGCAGGGACCCATGGACCTGGCTGGGGGGAAGTTGTGGAGGAGAATGAATGAATAATAGAAAGCACCAGCATTTTTGGGGACCAACTCTATGCCCAGTAGGGTGCTAAAGTGGCATGTAAATTAATATTCAGTCCTCCCAACAATCCTGGATCTTGACACTGTTATATCCCTGTTTCATAAAGGAGACACTAAGGCTCAGAGAGGCAGATGACTTCCCAAGGTCACACAGCCAAGAAGGGATAGAGTCAGGTTTCATCTAGCTCCAAAAGCAGAGATCTTTCCCCTCAACCCCATTGCCTCTCTTGGTGCTGAAAGAAATGGAAAAGGCTCTATGTGAATTCAGGGTCAGGGTAGAGTAGCAAAATGTGGGAAAGTGAGGCAGATTGCGACAGCTCCCATCACTCTGAAGTTGCTCCGGAATAACAAGGAGCTGGCACTGAGAGCAGAGCACGTGGTGCCGCTGCAGGGGATTCAGTGAAAAAGAAGTAGAGGCTGGGAGAGGAGGCTCACGCCTGTTATTCCAATACTTTAGGATGCTCAGGCAGGCGGATCACTTGAGCTCAGGAGTTCAAGACCAGCCTGGGCAACGTGGCAAAACTATGTCTCTACCAAAAATCAAAAATTAGCTGGGCGTGGAAGCTGAGGTGGGAGGATCGCCTGAGCCTGGGAGGTTGAGGCTGCAGTGAGCTATGATTGTGCCACTGCACTCTAGCCTGGGTGACAGTGAAACACTGTCTCAAAAAAAGAAAAAGAAAGAAAGTAAAAAGAAAAGAAAAGAAAAAGAAGCAGAAAGAAACTTTGCCCTTTGGGGAGTTGGTGACTGAGTCCAGGGGTAACCTTCCAGTCAAAGAAAGCTCCTCTTACAAGGAGGTAGTCCCTGCTTAGTTACCACCAGTTAGCCCCCTAGGCTTACTGAGGGCATGTTCTGAGCCCAGCACTGGGCCAGGAGGGCTGCAGACACACCCTGCCGCATCCAGAGGGGTTAGCCAGACAGTGTCTGGTGGAGCCACAGTGTCAGAGGCTAGGAGGGGGGCTGTGGTGGCATGGGGAGCCCAGGGCACGCCGCTTGGGGGCCAAGCCTAAATCCTGACTTGTTATTACTGGGCCCCCGGGCTGTCCTACAGCCCACCACGTAGGTCCTCTGTCCTACAGAGGCGGTGAGTTCTGTCTGCCAGTTTTATTATCTGTGTGCATCCCCTGCCAGCTCAGAAATGGGTCTCACTTCTACGTTTTGTGTAATGGTTCCCAACAGAAAACATTCATTAGAGTAAAAAGTGAAGACAGTTAGGGCTCTGTGTCCTTCCAGTCCTGGAAGAGGTGGCAAAGATTCTGAAGTTACATCTGTAAGAGAAAAAACTTTTTGGAGTGTGGTACGGGATCTTGCTATGTTACCCAGGCTGGACTTGAACTCCTGGGCTCAAGGATCCTCCCGCCTCGACCTACTGAGTAGCTGCAGGTACGTGCCATTGTGCCTGGTTTATAAGAAAAAACATTTTTAATGATGACTTCCCCCGACATGCCCAAGTTGCAAGGCATCTTGGCAGGACAGCTTGAGTCACTCTCCTGCCTGTGTGGTTACAGCCCACACAGGGAGACTTGCAGAGGCAGGTGTGGGATAGAGTCTTTCCCGTCCATTCTATGAGGGTACAGGCTCCAACAGGGAGATGTGAACGAAGGGGCCCAGCAGGGGCCTGCCTGGGCAGGACAGAGGTAGAAAGCAGCAGGGCAGGAGGAGCGGGAGACATGGGGGCTGGATTTAAGAGCTGTTCACTCGCAATCAAACGCTACTCACTTAAATGAACCAGAAGACCTCTGAGTGGCAAGTAGCTGTCACAAAGCCCATGCATTTTATTCCAAAGAGAGACAGGCACTCACCCAGAACAACTGTGTGCAGAAGGGCTTATCTTATAAGCAACAGAACAGAACACCTTGATAGCCACAAGAAGTGACAACTAACAACAGAAAATGACCACTCATTTGATCAACATTGCATGCATTGCTTCCTGCGTGAGTTTAAATACCTTGTTAGGCCAGGTGAGGTGGCTCTCGCCTATAACCCCAGTGCTTTGAGAGGCTGAGGTAAGAGGATTGCTTGAGCCTAGGAGTTGGAGACCAGCCTGGGCAACACAGTGAGACCTCATCTCAAAAAAATATTTTTTTATTAGCCAGGTGCAGCTACTCGGGAGGCTGAGGTGGGATGGTCACTTGAGTTCAGGAGGTCAGGGCTGCAGTGAGCTGTGATTGTACCACTGCACTCCAGACCGTGTGATGGAGCAAGACCCCTCTCCATAAATAAATAAATAAATAAATAAATAAAGTTCAGGTGCTTAGGGTGAGAATCTTCAGTCATTTACAGCATTCTCCTGACATGAAACTCTTGCTTGTCTTTCCCCATAAAAATCTGCTTGGGAAGGAATCATAGGAAGGGTGGACCCTTGAAACTTACTTAGAAAGCCACAGGCGACAGGTCTCGAGGTATAGACAAAAAGTGGGTTGGGACTGTCTCCTGCACACTGCAGCCCCAGGGAGTCTCCAAGCTGATCTCACCTTGTGACACATACAGTCCCTCTTCAGACCCATACTGAGCTCTCTATTGCCCCGCAGAAGAACATGCACAGCCTCCTATTGCTCTCCTGGCAGCCGGCCCTCCACTCCCAGCCTCATCTCTCACCAGCCGCCGCCCATATACTCCCCACCCTCCAGCTACACTCAACTGCTGTGTGATGTTGAGCAAGTCTCCTCCCCTCTCTGAGCCTCAGTTTCCTTACCTCTAAAATGAAAGTTTGGGCTGAACCTCCCTAAAGTCCCATCTGGACTCAGAGTGACAAAGGCCGTAATGAGTCCACTAATCTTGCTCCTTCTGTCCTCTCTCTTTGAAGATGACACCAAGTCGAATCCCTATGCAGGAGGAGATGGTGAGTACAGAACCACCTGCCCTCAGCGTCAGACCCAGCGCCTCTTGGACCCACCCCAGAAGAGGGTGCAGCAGCTGCCTGCACTATTTTTATGAGTGCGGAGAGGGAGCAACTGCAGCCTGAGCATCCCAGACCTTCTGCTGGGTGGGGAGGCAGGGGTGCTTCTGGGTACAGGTGCCCTAGATTGAAGGAACATGTCTACCCGACATTTCTCACCTCAGCCATGAACCTCCTGTGGTTCTTCTCCTGGCTCTCTGCCCTTGAATATTCACTGCCCAGAAAGGAGTGGGAGGAGGGGAAGGACTGAGCCAGGGCAGGCATGGGTGGGGCCTGTGGCCATCCCCTCCGATCCCCACGGGCTCATAGTCAGCAAGGGGTGGAGAGCAGCTTCTTTCCTCACTCAGGCTGGCAGAGGACATAAAATGGTCCACTACAATTTTTGCAGGATACCAGAAGGTGGGACTCACTGCAGCCTCCTAGGATTACCTAGAAGGATAATCTCCTTTCTGAGGGTGGGAGCTGCCCCCACCTCCCCTGCCCTTCGCCCAGAGCCAGCTCAGGCCTTTGTTGCAACCTGTGCAAGAGTAGAGATGAAAGTGCCTTCCAACCCCAGGGCTGGAGATTGTCATCTGGGCTTCCAGCAGGAGAGGAAAGATTATTAATGCAGCACAGTGTGATGGTGTCCCCCAGCAGAGATGGAGCCATTGCTCCTCCATAGGCCGTGGGTGTGAGTGTGTGTGTGTCTGTTGTGGGGGTGGCTGGGCCACAATCCCCTCACTCTGCACCATGTGCTCATCAGCAGAAGCCCTCATCATCAAATCATCAGAGCCACTGCAGGCTGCGGGCTGATTGCCATCCAGGTCAGGGGAGGTTCACTTGGGGCATTTCACCTCAGTCCTCCCACCTGTTGGCAGACAGAGGCCCTAGCCATGCCCTGGAGTGCCCCAGGAGAGTTCCTCTCCTGGGTGTCCTCTGCTTACAGAGTGCAGAGTAGAGCAAAGGGGATGGGGAGGACAATGATTTTGAGTGCATGCAACATCCCATTAAAACTCGCCACCCCTAGCTGCCTTCCAACCCACCCACTAGCTGTGTAGGAAGAATGCAACATTTTTGTTGCCAGCCTGCTCATCTGTCTTCTCTACCTCATTATCTCCACATTCCTTTAGGATAGGGTAAAGAGGCAAATAGCCACCCCAGGTAGTGTCAGGCAACTAGGTTTTTTAGGGGTGGGCACTGAATTTGTGTGTCTGTGGGGAAATCACTTAACCTCTCTGTTATTTCCATTACCTCAGTCATGCACGAAAGGGGTTGAGCTTCCAGCTCTGTGGAAAATACTCTCTCCCAGTGCTGGGCTCAGAACATGCCCTCAGTAAGCCTAGGGGGCTAACTGGTGGTAACTAAGCAGGGACTACCTCCTTGTAAGAGGAGCTTTCTTTGACTGGAAGGTTACCCCTGGACTCAGTCACCAACTCCCCAAAGGAGTTGTATTTCAAATGCCTAGGATGTTCTCAGAGAGTGCCTGTTGGCTTATTGGCTTCCAGAGGACCTACATCATTCCATATACTTTCTTGGAGCTTCTCTGACGGGCCTGCCAGTTTTTTTGTTTTGTTCGAGATGGAGTCTCACTCTGTCGCCCATGCTTGAGTGCAGTGTCACGATCTCGGCTCACTGCAACCTCCGCCTCCTAGGTTCAAGCTATTCTCCTGCCTCAGCCTCCTGAGTAGCTGGGACTACAGGAGTGTGCCACCACACCTGGCTAATTTTTGTATTTTTAGGAGAGATGGGGTTTCACCATGTTGGCCAGGCTGGTCTTGAAATCCTGACTTCAAGTGATCCGCCTGCCTTGGCCTCCCAAAGTGCTGGAATTAGAGGAGTGGGCCATCATGGCCAGCCCCTGCCAGTTTTTCTAAAAGTTGAGGACACAGAGTTGAATAAGACATCATCCTTGCCCTCCAAGAGGTCACAATCTGGGAGTGGACAGTGATAGGAAAAACTATGGTCATTTGCCATCATAATAGCTAATACTTATTGAAGTCATCCAAAATGGGAGACATGGTCCTCAGTGCTTGACATGAATCATGTCATTTTAACCTTCACAATAACCCCATTAGGTGGGTATTATTATCCTTGTTCAACAGAAGTGATAATGAAGACAGAGAAAGGTTAGATAATTTGCACAAGGTCACACAGCTAGTAAGTGGCAGAGCATAGATTTAATCCAGGCAGCCAGATTTCAGATCCCAAACTCTTAACCCTCAGATGCCCTTTGTGAATTCCTTAATAGCACTTATGTAGTGGCACAGATATCAGAGAGAACTTCTCTTATGATCCTTATTAGACATTTGGGGCAACTTTTAGGTGATTTTGGAAAACTACCCAGATGGCGTCAAGCACAACATGAATGCCTTACTCATAATGATTCCAACTCCCACCCAACCTCTTCCTGTATTTGATACGTGGACCCAAAGGCTCTGTCGGCTTTCATCTCTGAGACTTTGTTAGAACCCAAGACCCCATGGTTCCACCTTCCCTGCTCCCCTGCAGCCCCTGCCTGCCCTAATGATCTCTCCACAGGCCTTCAGAACAACCTGTCCCCCAAGACAAAGGGCACCCCTGTGCACCTGGGCACCATCGTGGGCATTGTGCTGGCAGTCCTCCTCGTGGCGGCCATCATCCTGGCTGGAATTTACATCAATGGCCACCCCACATCCAACGCTGCGCTCTTCTTCATCGAGGTCCGTGTCATCTGTGGCCGCAGGGCTGGCTGCCATCCGCTTCTGCGTCAGCGTCTCCTGGGCCATTTGTTCCCTGCCTCTCCCCTTCTCCCTCTCCCCTGCCACATACCTGAGAAGACCTCATCCACCCCATCCTGACACATTTCGAGATAGCTGGCGCCCATTAAGTCCTGCACCCTGAGAAATCAGCACCTCAGAACTCCCTCGGCCCTCCTGTCCTGTGTGGAACAACCCCTCTGCTTTTGTTCCCCCATTCGTGAAATCAGAAAAGAATCCCCGGAGGAAAGAAAGAAGGCCACAGTGCCACATAGTGCCCATCTAGTGGCTGTGCAGCCTATCTCTAGTGATTTATGGTCTCATGCCCAAATGCCAGGCTCAGTTCTTACTCAAAGCCATGATGGAACCAGGGTCTCTGCCTCTTTTGCCTACTGATACCTGCCTTTAAGGTTAAAATTGAGGGGCACGTGCAGTGGCTCCTTCCTAAGATCCTAGCGCTTTGAGAAACCGAGGCAGGATTACTTGAGCACAGGAGTTTAGAGACTAACCTGAGCAACAGAGCAAGACTCCGTCTCTACAAAAATTTAAAAAATTATCCCAGCATGGTGGCACGCACCTGTGGTCCCAGCCACTTGGGAAGCTGAGGTGGGAGGATCCCTTGAGCCCAGTGGTTTGAGGCTGCAGTGAGCCCTGATCATACCACTGCACTCCAACCTGGGTGATAGAGGAGACCCCATCTCTAAAATAAAAATGAAATAGACAAGTGAAATAATGATAAGAGCTGCCCTCTGGGAGCTTTAGTTGAGGATGCTAAGTTTTGAACATCTCAATTCTGAAGAGCCAGCCTGAGGGGCAGCATGGGATGTAAGACTCAGCCTCCTTCACTTGGGGCCGCAGAGCTCAGCAGCTCCTGCCCCCAGTCCTCCACTTCTGGCTTCTAAAGTTCCCCACAGGGTGTAGCAGTGGTGCCTCTGTGACTCTAGTCTCCTCCACGTGGGTCACGAGCCCACCAGCCTCATTACCCACAGGCCTAGGTCGTTCCCCCAATTTCTTTTTCTTTTTCTTTTTTTTGAGATGGAATCTTGCTCTGCCACCCAGGCTAGAGTGCAGTGGCATAATCTCGGCTCACTGTAACCTCTGCCGACCGGGTTCAAGCGATTCTCCTGCCTCAGCCTCCTGAGTAGCTGGGATTACAGGCACGTGCCACCACACCTGGTTAATTTTTGTATTTTTAGTAGAGACGGGGTTTCAGCATCTTGGCCAGGCTGGTCTTGAACTCCTGACCTCCTGATCCACCTGTCTCGGCCTCCCAAAGTGCTGGGATTCCAGGTGTGAGCTACCATGCCCGGCCCTAATTCCCCAGTTTCTTAGGAAGCTTAGCCATTCTGAAGTCTTAGCCTACCTGGGTAACACCTGGGAACTGCAGATCCCCAGGCCACAGGGATTCTGATAGGGCAGGTCTAAGGCAGGCCCAGGAATCTGCATTTTATTTATTTATATTTGAGAGTCTCACTGTGTCACCAAGGCTGGAGTGCAGTGGCACAATCTTGGCCTACTGCAGCCTCTGCCTCCGGGGTTCAAGCAATTCTGGTGCCTCAACCTTCTGAGTAGTTGGGACTACAGGCTCGTGCCACTACACCCAGCTAATTTTGGTATTTTTAGTAGAGATGGGGTTTCACCATGTTGGCCAGGCTGGTCTTGAGCTCCTGGCCTCAAGTGATCTGCCCACCTTGGCCTCCCAAAGTGCTGGGATCACAGGCATGAGCCACTGCACAGGCCAGAATCTGTATTTTAATAAGCCCCCTATTGACTCTGATGTGGACCCTATGCTACCTTGGAGGGTTATCTTGGCATTTCCAGATCCTCAGGCATCATTCCAGCCATCTCTGAGCCACTTCCTCACATTGCAGTCCCAGGTCTCCACTTGGTGTATTGCTGAATCTCTTAGCTATGAGTTCTACAGACCACGCAGTGAAAGATAAAGTGTCCTCCTTCCACACTTTAGCTTCCAGCAGGTTTCCCAGTGGTTGGGGGATCACAGCAGGGAACATTTTAGGGAGAGGGTCCCTGAAGGTCAGTTGTGTGGCTCCTGGTAGGCCCCAAGTGCCCCAGGGCCCTTGTAAGAGAGAGCCTTCGTTGGCTCTGTCGCTCAGGAGTGTGGGGTCCCCATGGTGAGGGCATGCCCGCTGACTTTGCCTCTGTGCCTTCTGCAGCGTAGACCTCACCACTGGCCAGCCATGAAGTTTCGCAGCCACCCCGACCATTCCACCTATGCAGAGGTGGAGCCCTCGGGCCATGAGAAGGAGGGCTTCATGGAGGCTGAGCAGTGCTGAGAACACCAGGTCTCCCTTGTGAAGACTCTGAGACCACAGAAAAGACAGTTAAAGCAAAGAAGAAAAATGACTTTTCCTGGCCTTTCCCAGCATGCCCTGGGCTGAGATGAGATGGTGGTTTATGGCTCCAGAGCTGCTGCTCGCTTCGTCAGCACGCCCCGGATGTTGAAGAGGGGGCCAAAAAACAACCACATGGATTTTTTATAGGAACAATAATCTAATCTCATCCTGTTTTGATGCAAGGGTTCTCTTCTGGGTATTGTAACCATGAAACAGCAGAAGAACTAACATAACTAACTCCATTTTTGTTTAAGGGGCCTTTACCTATTCCTGCACCTAGGCTAGGATAACTTTAGAGCACTGAGATAAAACGCAAAAACAGCAACCATGCCATTTGCAAAACTAACTCTGGGATTAAAGGGGAAGCATGTAAACAGCTAACTATTTTTGTTAAAGATTTATAGGAACGAGGAGGAGGTTTGGCTGTTGTCACATGAGAGACTGTTAGCCAACGACAAGGAAGTTCCGCAAACCTTCCCTGGACCCTTGCTGGTGTCCAGATGTCTGCGGTTGTCAGCCCCTTCCTTTCCCCCGACCTAAACAGAAAAGACAAGGCAAAACCCACATAATTTTAAGACAGTTCTTTAGGACATTAGTCCACCATCTTCTTGGTTTGCTGGCTCTCCGAAATAAAATACCTTTCCTTGCTCCAACTCCTTGTCTCTCAACGTATTGGCTGTCACGCAGCAAGCAGAATGAATTTGGACTCAGTTACAGGCTGTCAATGGTCTGCTCTGTAGCAGTCTCAGAGCCTCCCGACCTGGAGATGGCCAGACAGCCAGATCCCCTGCTCCTGGCCACCTAAAGCCCCTGCATATGACACAGGTTAACTAAAGTCAAGACTGGGGCTGCTGCATTCCAGGGTCCCTAGACTCAAGCTGGTCCTCAGCCGGGTGTGGTGGCTCACACCTGTAATCCCAGCACTTTGTGAGGCTGAGGCAGGCGGATCACCTGAGTTAGGAGTTTGAGATCAGCCTGGCCAACATAATGAAACTGTCTCTACTAAAAATACAAAAAATTAGCTGGGTGTGGTGGCACTTGCCTGTATCCCAGCTACTCAGGAAGCTGAGACACAAGAATCACTTGAACCTGGGAGGCAGAGGTTGCAGTAAGCTCAGATAGCGCCACCGCTCTCCAGCCTGGGTGACAGCAGAGCGAGACTCCGTCTCAAAAAAAAAAAAAAAAAAAAAGGCTGATCCTCATGGCTATAGAGTTGGCGTCTTAGCCCTGGCTTCTGTAGCTCTGAAAGCCTAAAGAAGGTGTTCTCTCCATCTGTTAAACACAGTACAGCGGCTCTCAGCCCTTGGGGCATGTTATCATGGGAAGGAAGTAAAATAAGAGGAGAGAAAAGAACTCAAGGGGGAACTGCATTTTAGGCTTTGCTCTCTTACCTTGCCCTTTCTGCTCAGAACCAGTAACTTCTGCATCAAAACATGTTACAGCCTGCATCAAGTGCTTTACCCCAACCTGTGGCCCAGCTTTCCCTGAGCAAGCTTGCTATGCGCAGCCACATTTACCATGAGGGGCTCCCTATTCTGATGGCCTGTTTGGTGCCGAGTTTATTCACTGGCCTGTTCTGGTGTCAGTGCCTATACATACCTCCAAAGGCAGGACTTGCCTGATAAATATTTTTCCTCCTCTGAACTGGATTTTATAGGCATTAAAGACAAGTCGGGTGGCTCAAGGGCTCCTTGAGACATACCTAGCAGGGAACTGCAGGTGGATTCTGTTGAGCGGCAAAGCGCCTGAGTGGTTGGGACACAGGCAGCTGGCATGGAAGGGATGTTTTTTTGAGAAAGGGACTCACTGTGTCGCCCAGGGCAAGGATGCCCAAATACACCAGGTTGGGGAGGCACCTACCAACCACTTGCTTTCCCTGGAGCCCGCATGTGTCTGTGGGGCAGGGAGGCCTAGGGTTCTACGGCTGCCTGGGATGGGTGTGCACAGTGTGTGAAGTACCTACCACCTTGCCTTGCTAGACTGTCAGTCGGTCGCAGGGCTGGCCACAAGACCCATGTCTCCATCTGGTCACACTCCACAGCTACCCAGTTAACCTGCTCTAAACTTTAGAGAACTCCAGGATCTGTCCAAGAAACGCTTATCTGGCCAAGCATGATGGCTCATGCCTGTACTCCCAGCACTTTGGGAGGCCAAGGTGGGAGGGTTGCTTGAGCCCAGGGGTTTGAGACCAGCTTGGGCAACAATAACAACAAAAATGCCAGGTGTAGTGGGGCGCACCTGTAGTCCCAGCTACTAGGGAGGCTGAGGCAGAAGGATCACTTGAGCCTGGGAGGTTGGGCTGCAGTGGGTCATAATCATCATAATCATGCCACTGTACTCCAGCCTGGGCGACAGAGTGAGACCCTGTCTCCAAAAAAATAATAAAAAAAAAAAGAACAGAAAAAGATAATGCTTACATTGTCAGGGATCCTATAGACAATCATCATTAACTCTATGAGATGCTTGGTTCTATTTTTTGGGAGACTTGGTCTAAGTGTTTTGGCTTGAGAAATCTGTAGGCTTCTCTTGGTACTTTTTGTCATAAACAAACAGGCTGTCTGCCGCCAAATACCTCCACTCCCCATGCCACTGACATCCCATGGGTCAGCCAGGCTTGCTTTGACTGAGGGCGAGGCATCTGGAACTTTCTCTACCTGCAGGGGCTAGCAGCAGAGGCCTCTCTGCATCACCACCCCTTCCTCCACTCCTGACATTCTTTCCCTTCAGGGATCTAACATGGTTGGCCGAGCTCCCAGTGGGGAAACATGTGCTAGAGTTAGGGAGTGGGACAAGTGGTGCCGTCCATGGAATCAGGCCACAACAGGAACTGGCCATTTGAGACACACACAGGTGGTAGATGCTTTGCTGGTGGGCTGTGCTTCCCTCATCCAGAGAGCTCTGTTACAGCCCACTGTGTCCTTCAGAAGCTTGAAAGCAACCCAAATCTTTGCTGCACTGTCCTTTTTCTTCCTCTAATTCAGACCCTCCTTCCACCAGCACCCCTCTACCCCCACCCTCAGCTCTTCCTTGCCTGGTTTATGAAGCAGGGCTGAGGCCCCACGTTTCCAACTCTTGATTGTCACTCGCATCCTCACAAAGGATAAACCACGGAGCAACTGGAAAACCATCAGCCAAGCGTTCGGATGAGTCTGGTTATTGGTCCACCTCCGACCAGATTCTCTTACACTTAACTCACTTCTTTCTTTGGCAATGACCCTCATGACATGTATAAAAGGGTATGACTAAGAAGAGGCTGTGATCTAACATTTATTTGCTGCTATTTTTTACTCTGACTGGGGTGAGCTCTAGATTTTAATTCCAAATGTTCTTCAGAAGCAGCCCCAGCTCATCACTGGGAAAGAACTGCCCCTGCAAACCAGCTAAATTTGAGAGTTTAAATTCCCTGCCCCCAAAACTTCTCACAGAGCTGGGGAGTTGGTGGCAACTTTCCAAGTCAAGGTCTTGCTTAGAAAGTCCTTCACTGCATGACCAGGTGCAGTGGCTCACGCCTGTAGTCCCAGGTACTTGGGAGCCTGAGGCAGGAGGATCGCTTGAGCTCAGGAGTTCAAGGCTGCACAGAGCCACAATCATCCCACTGCATTTGTTTAAAAATAAATTTTTAAAATTTGTGTGTTTCATCAGGGGTCTCCTGTATCTGTGTATGTTTGTGTGTGTGTGTTTGTATACAGCCTTGTCCAATGTTTTTAGCAATAATATATGCACACACAGGTATTTTGTTGCTAAAGAGATTGGACAAGGTTGTAGCTGTGCTCAGGCTTCAGCTTGGTTTGTTAAATTAAGAGAGAGAGAAACAATGACAAGAGCTGCTGGCCAACCACACTATTCAAAAAGCAGAGTGTCCACCACTAAAGCTGACCATTCATCTGGTTGCAGGCAAGGCTAAGGCTCTCTCTCCTCTAGTTCCTGGAATAGACTCACAGGTTGGCATGAAGCACTGATTAGGGGCTGCACTCAGACTCCCTGGCCATGCGAACCTACACCAGAAGAGTCAGTGTCACAGATACGATGCGGTCAATCTCTGTCTCCAAAAACCTACCTGAATTTAGTGATACAATTAGAAAGATCTGGAAACTGAGGGCACCCAGCCTTTTAAAACACAATGTATTCACGTGTTTAGTGTAAACTGTCTGCATGGATTCTCGGTGTTAATAATAAAAGGAAGCACTCTTTTACAACTCCTGCTGTGTGCAAAATAAAGTGCAAAGGATTTGGGGTGGCATTCTGAAGACCACCACACATACCTTGGTTCTGATGGCTGCTGGACTCCAACTTCTTCACTGAGACATGATCTTGGGAACAGCCTCCAGCTATCTGCTCATCAGAGGTGCTTTCTTTAACCTCCTGCACCACCTCCAAGAGAAACAGCCTAAAAAGAAACCCCAGCTGTTTACTTATATTGGGCCCGTAAATCCCTGGAAGTAAACCCCGTGCATTTTTGTCTACTGTCTGAGGACACACAATAAATCTGAGAAAGTCTATGCTGTCACATTTCTGGATGCTTTGCATTTGAACAACTTTAGCCGCCTCATTGTGTTTTTATTACTTTGTGGTTTTACTCACAAAACATGGTTTAGCGAACCAAAACAAAGAGAGGAAAAATGTGAACACCTCACAGCCAAAATCAATGATGCTAAATTTCAGGCTCCAAACAAGCCAATTTATAAATAAACATGCTGTGTCTGCCAAATCAAGAGGAATGTGTTAAGAGAAGACAATGTAAACTGATGGAGAAGGTGCTGAGCTGGACAGGGAGTGGGAAGGTGGGAGCTTGGCCTCAGCCCTGCCCCTGAGTAGCTGGGTGATGTGGGCCAAGTCACTGGACTTCTCTGGGATGGCTTCCACCTCTGTGAAATAGGAGGTACTAGACTAATTGGTCTAAGGTGGGACCTAAGCAATCAGCTGCCTGGTTCTTTTTCAGGTCACACAGCAACTTAGACCAAAGTATGTCTTTCTCTTTCATTATCCTGATAGGGGGACCAAATTGTTCTATCCGGGACTCCCCTGGTTCTAACACACGAAGTCCTGCATCCCAGGAAGCTCCTCAATCCTGGGCACACTGGAATGTTGTAGAACCAAACCGGGTGTTCTCACCTGGTGCAATAACACCAGATGTCCACACTGAAACTTTGCAACAATAAAGGAAGGCATTTGTTTGCAGGACTCCAAGCAAGGAGAATTGGGTGGCTTATGCTTAAGATATGAACTCTTGATGGCTTGTAAGGAATTTTTCTTTTTTTTTTTTTTTAAGAGAGTCTCACTTACTCTGTTGCCCAGGCTGGAGTGCAGTGGTACGATCTCAGCTCACTGCAACTTCTGCCTCCTGGGTTCAAGCAATTCTCCAGCCTCAACTTCCTGAGTAGCTGGGACTACAGGCATGTACCACCATGTCCAGCTAATTTTTGTATTTTTAGTAGAGACAGGTATCACTATGTTAACCAGGCTGGTCTCAAACTCCTGGCCTCAAGTGATCTGCCCACCTTGGCCTCCCGAAGTGCTAGGAGTATAGGCATGAGCCGCTGTGCCCAGCAGCAGGTAAAGATTTTAAAAGGCAGGGGTAAATTTCAGGAAAGCAGACATTACAGGCAAAATCATAAATCAATACATGGAAGCTATATATTGGTTTGACCTAAAAAGGTCCTCTTAAAGCAGGACCCACAAGTCATAAGGTGGGTTCAAAGATTTTCTGATTTGCAATTGGTTCAGGAGGCAAAGCTTTGTCTAGACATTTGGGATCAGCAGAAAAGAATGTTAGCTCTGGCTCATGGGCATGGCCTCCTCCAGGTCCCTCAGGAAGACATTTAGAACAAACTATAGTCAGAGTCAGTCCTCAGCACCTGCTTACCTGAGGTCTACATGCCAGCGGATCCCTTTGGAGAGGTCTGGGCTTCTGAAAAACAGCTCAGGGACATTAAATGCCTGTGTGCCAGGCACCATTAAGTGACTTGCACACGGTCACACAGCTAGTAAGTTGTTATCTTTAGTTTCTAGAGGGGAACCAAACATCTCCTGACTCTAACTTCCTTAGCTATTGTTTTAGACTACTATTACCTTCCTGTTTATCAAGCTGCTTATTTACTTCTCAGGGCTAGCTAGGATTTCCCTGATGGAACTCAAGATTTTCCTTTATTCCCATGTGTGGGTGTCCACAGCTCCCTCTCCATGTTTGGTCACTCTACCCTTGGTACAGCCCTCCCACCCCACTGGCTGAAGAAATAATGATTTCAAGCACCTGGAAAGCACTTTAGACTCTAGAACCTTGCTAGTTAAAGTTTGGTCCAGGGCCAGGCACAGTGGCACATGCCCTGTGGCCCGAACTACTCAGGAGGCTTGGGACCAGGAGTTCGAAGCTTCAGTGAGCCATGATCACACTACTGCCCTTTAGCCTGGGGGACAGAGCAAGACCCTGCTCTAAAAAAAATGTAAATCTATACAATGAAGTGTGGTCCAAGCCAGGTACAGTGGCTCATACCTGTAATCCTGCTGTCTGGGAGGCCAAGACGGGAGGATGGCTTGAGGCCAGGAGTTCGAAACCAGCATGAGCAACATAGCGAGACCTTATCTCTACAAAAAAAAAAATAAATAAATAAAATAATAAAGTGTGGTCCAGTCAGGCAGCATTAACATTCCCTGGGGTTAGTTGGAAATGCGGCACTCAGGCCCCAGACCTACTGAGTCAGAATCTGTATTTGAGCAGCTCCCCAGGTGATTCCTGTGAAGTGCATGAAAGTTTGAGATGCACCATTTAGAAAGCAATTCTACCTACATGATCGCAGCCTGTTGGAGAAGCATTGTTTTTCCATTTCCCAGATGAGGAAAATGAGGCTCAGGGAGGTGGCTTACCTATTTATTCACTTGATCCACACTCATTAAACGCCTGTGCGCCAGGCACCATTAAGTGACTTGCACAAGGTCACACAGCTAGTAAGTAGAGAAAATCCCCAAGCACAGGTTTTTGGATTCCCATCTGAGGTTGTTGTCTGTGTACCTCAGGGTGTTGCCAGAACCACGTGGCCACAGTTTAATATAGAAACAGATTATGAATCATGACAGACAGACTGCTCCAGGCCTGTAGAGATCCTCAAAGAGATGCCTAGGGATGACTTCAGATCCTCATTCCTGGCTCACAAAACTGTGAGCTTACCATCTATTTATCTGCACAGTCCCAGGAGCTTGAGAATGTCCTAGTTGTTGCTGCCTCCTTCTCATCCCAATGCCCGCACTAGCGACCCTCCCACATGAATAATTAGAAGCACTCCTCACAAGCCTTACAGAGCACCAGGCGATGCCTCCATCTGATTTATCTTTTTGGATGGAGGACAATGGATTACTTCCTTCGCCAAGATGGGGCCGGAGGTGCAGCGAGGAAGGAAGGGGTGTAAAATCTTTACGTGAACTGTGAAATCCAAAGAGAAATTTTGTGGGGGATGATTTTTCTGATGTTCATAAAACATTTTTACATTTGGTCCCTAGAGATAGCTAAATTATGCCTACAGTTTTCCACAAAGCTAAAAGCACTGAAAAAAAATATCACCTGAATATGGGCCAATAAAATTTCATCATATATTCCCAGAGTCTTGAGTTAGAACCTTCCCTTCCAGCTTGCCTTTCCCTTCTTCGGTCTTTCCCCCTCAAAGTTTGTGTGGTTTTGTTTCTTTGTGTTTGGAGACAGGGTCTTGTTCTGTTGCCCAAACTGGAGTGCAGTGGCATGATCTCAGCTCACTGTAACTTCCACCTCCTGACTTCAAGCGATTCTCCTACCTCACCATCCCGAGTAGCTGGGATTATAGACATGTACCACCACACCCGGCTAATTTTGTATTTTTAGTAGAGATGGGGTTTCTTCATATTGGTCAGGCTGGTCTCAAACTCCCGACCTCAGGTGATCCGCCCTCCTCGGCCTCTCAAAGTGTTGGGATTACAGGCCTGAGCCACTGCACCTGGTCAATTTTTGTATTTGTAGTAAAGATGGGGTTTCTCCATGTTGGCCAGGCTGGTCTTGAACTCCTGGCCTCAAGTGATACACCCACCTCAGCCTCCCAAAGTGCTGGTATTACAAGCATGAACCATTGTATCCGGTCTTAGATCCCATTTTTAATTAACAGATGAAGATGCTGCTCTCTTAAGGAACATTAAGTAATTCCAAGAGCACCTCCTCAAGGCCAAAAGGGCAGCCTCCTGCAGGGCTTACCTTCCCCTTCTCAGAGCCTCCCTTTTCTCTCTCGTTTTTCTTTTTTTTTTAGAGACAGGGTCTCAGTCTGTTTTCCAGGATTCAGTTCAGTGATGCAATCATGGCTCACTGCAGCCTTGAACTCCTGGGCTCAAGTGATCCTCCCACCTCAGCCTTCCAAGTAGCTGGGACTACAGGTGGGAACCACCATGCCTGGCTAATTATTTTATTTTTTGTAGAGATGGGGTCTTGTTTTTCTTCCCAGGCTGATCTTGAACTCCTGGGCTCAAGCAATCCTCCCATCTCAGCCTCCCAAGTGTTGGGATTATAGGTGTGATCCACCACGCTCGCTCAGCTGCAGCCTCCCCTCTCTGCAGCTGCTGACACCCATCTCTGTTCCCTGGGGCTCTTCTCCCCCAGGCCCATTACAGACTGAGCAGAATTCTCCCAGCTGTGCTCACTCTTCCCTCTGCCTCTGTAGACAAGCACTTAGCCCTCTTTCACCGTGGAGGAGGAGCCACGACTAACAAAATTAGGCAGAGGTAAACATTACTTACAATCAAAGGTCCTGGTCTACTGACTTTTGGCCTCTGGTATGGTACCGCTGGTTGTGCTGCTGGCAGCTCACATTTACTGGGTGCTTCCTATGTTCCAGGCACATTTTAGGAGAGGTACTTGTATTGTCATCTATGGGGTGGGTGCTATTGCTACCTCTACCCTACACAGGAGGCCACTGAGGCACAGCACAATAGGGAACTGTATTTTTTGTATTTTACTAGAGATACGAGTTTTGCCATATTGCCAAGGCTGGTCTCGAACTCCTGTCCTCAAGTGATCCGTCCAACTCAGTCTCCCAAAGTGCTGGAATTACAGGCATGAGCCACCGTGCCCAGCCTGATCTTTAATTTTTTTCTGTAGAGATGGGGTCTCACTATGTTGCCCAAGCTGAGATTTCTTTAAAAGGGACAGCACAAAATAACATGGGGTTTAGCATCAGTAGGTTTGAGTTCAACCTCAAGCTTCCGTAACTTTTGTCAGGAACCTTAAGCAAGTCACTTAACCATCCTGAGTTTCAGTTTCTTAATCTAAAAAACCCAGAGAACTGAAAGATTAGTGTGGCAATGCATCTGAACATATTCTATAAACCAGAATGCTGGACAAATGCTAATCTATTATTGAATTCAGCACTTCATTTCAGCGGAGCTGGGAATTCCATATTTGGAGCCACCTTGACTGGAAATGTCTGAAAAAGCTGCTTCCGGTTGCATGCCTTTTGGGCTCCGTGGGCAGCCATTGCTGAATAAAATTTAACGACGGCATAGAAACCAGGATGGGCCGCTGCAGCATTTGGAAAGACCAGGACTGAATACAGAAGGTCAAACTGGGAAAATGCTGTGAACAGAGAAAGCCGTGGGGGTGGTCCCACGCCAAGTAAGCATATGAAATCTCAAGCCCAGAAAACAAAACTGCCCATGCCTTCATATTCCCCAAACCCTTCTTCGAGAAGGATGCAATTCAAAACACTTCCCACTTAACCAACAAGTTTTCTTCTTAAGATCCTAAACTTTAAGAAGCCCTGGAAGGTAAAACGTGTTGACTGTGGAGAGGTACCTCTCCGGGACTCTAAAAATCTGTTGGGGGTAGCTGTCTGCTGGTCCCCTCTAGAATTAAGAGTCCTTCAGCGGGCCGGGCGCGGTGGCTCACGCCTGTAATCCCAGCACTTTGGGAAGCCGAGGAGGGCGGATCACCTGAGGCCAGGAATTCGAGACCAGCCTGGCCAACAAGGTGAAACCCCACCTCTACTAAAATACAAAATTAGCCGGGCGTGGTGGCGGGCGCCTGTAATCCCAGCTACTCCGGAGGCCGAGGCAGGAGAATTGCTTGAACCCTGGAGGCGGATGCTGCGGTGGGCAGAGATCACGCCACTGCACCACAGCCTGGGAAACAGAGCAACAGTGTGTCTCAAAAAACAAAACAAAACAAACCAGAGTCCTTCAGCAGAGGCTGAGGCAGGTGAAGTGCTGAAGCAGGACTCTGGAATTCCCAGTTAGCGAGTGGGCGGCTTTCTCCATCCCTCCCTCCACCGTGGCCCCGGCTCACATGCAAAGCCTCGGCCGTGGGTCCAGAGCTCAGTTCCCACACTAGCAAGGTTTTGTCACTCTTGGTGGGAACCGCAAAAGGTACCAGATTCTCCCTTCACCCAGCTTGCGCGGCTAAGGCTCACGCAGCACTGCGCCTGCGCAAGACACGGCCTCGCCTTTTTTTTTTTTTTTTTTTTTAAAACAAGAGGCGCATGCGAGGGGCGGAGCGGCGCCCGGATCGCTCCCTCGCCCCTCCTACCCGGGGCCGACTTCTGAGCCTGTTCCCCTCCTCCAGCCACACCGCCACGACCCTGAGTTTAGTGCTTCCATTCAAGTGCATGTTTAGGGTAGAGTCCCAAAATGGGCTGACAGCATGAAAGGGTAGGGACACGTTTATAGCAGCCAGTTTCATCTTCACTCCTGATGGAGATTAGGGTACTAAGTATTATTAGCCCTACCTACTGAGCTTGTGGGAAATAACCATGAAGGATGCAACCTTTTGACTTAAGAATTTTTTTTTTTTTTTTGGAGTTTAACATATTCAAATAAAAGTATGACTCACTAAGCTATTAACAGTCTAGCATGAAATCCTTAAAAAGAATTTCCTGGTTGTCCTACATGATTCTAGTGAATTGTGTACGTGTATTTGTGGGGGTCAAATGATGTGGGAGATCCGAGGTCTGAGTGAGAAGTAGAGATCAATTTTGGAAAACAGTAAAAATCAAAGAATAGGTCCAACTTGGGGCTGAGGGTGTCTGAGAGGGGTAGGTGTTGTAATCAGCTATGTGGTGGAGCAGTGTAATCACCTGGTGGGTTCATTTTACCCACTCCCCAGAAAAGCCGATTTACTGAGACAGCATTATTGAAATAGACAGAGTTTAGTACAGAACCAGCGAAATAGAAGACTGGAGTTTTATTATTACTCAAATCAGCCTCCCTGAAAATTTGGAAGCTAGGGTTTTTAAGGATAGTTTGGCAGGCAGGGGGCTAGGGGGTGGGGAATGCTGATTGGTTGGGTCAAGGATGAAATCATAGGGTGTCAGAGCTTGTGTTCTTGTGCTGGGTGAATTCCTGGTTGGGGGCCACAAGACCAGATGAGCCAGTTTGCCGATCTGAGTGGTGCCAGCTCATCCATCAGAATACAGGGTCTGAAAAATACCTAGAATGGCAATCTTCGGTTTTACAACAGTAATGTTGAAAGGAGTGAGTTAGCTCGCCTTAGGTAGATAGCAAGGGAAGGGTCCCCAGAGAGCCCCCGGCCCACAGGTCAGTGCCTCATCTCCACATAACATAAAAAAGCAGCCTAGGAAAACATTCTAGCTGCAGGCACCAATAAGGGAACAAGCACAGCAAGTTGTACCTGGAGACATGCCCATGGCTGTACAGATAGCAAAACCTCAGGCCCATTTGGATAAAAACTTCAACAAACCTCTATTTCACTCACATAAAGGAACAAGGCCTGGCATAGAAATGTCTTTGTCCTTTGTATAGTCAGCAAGCTCCTAGGACAAACTTTCTTCTCCTTTTGTGAGTGTGGGTACAGTGGGCTCCCGTGGGTTCCCGTGGACACTTTACTTTCCTTTTTGGGCTATAAGTTTGGCCTCTATGAAGTATCACTTCAGCCCTTGGTAGGTCTGGGGCCAAGCTTTCACTTCAGCTCCTGATAGGTCCTGGGTCAAGCTAAGCAGCATCTAGGAATCATCATTTCAGCTCCTGATTGGTCCTGGGGCAACTAAGCACATTCCTTCCCCTTCCCAGTCTGTAAAAACCCTGGCCACCAGCCTCACAGGGGCACCCGTTTGGGGCCCCCTCTCTGCTGGCAGAGAGTTTTCTTCTTTTGCTTATTAAACTTTCACTCTAATCTCAACTTCTCAACTTTGTGTCTGCTCTTCTTAATTGTCTTGGAGGTAGGACAAAGAACTCCCGGGCATGTTATCTCAGACAAGGAGCAACTGTTAAATCTTGGTGCATTGCTGAGACTACAACAATGCTATCTTTTTTTTTTTTTTTTTTTTTTTTGAGAGAGTCTCACTCTGTTGCCCAGGCTGGAGTGCAGTGGTGCAATCTTGGCTCACTGTAACCTCTGCCTCCTGGGTTCAAGCGATTCTCCCCGCTCAGCCTCCTGAGTAGGGGGGGTAACAAGTGCCTGCCATCACACCCAGCTAATTTTTCTATTTTTAGTAGAGACAGGGTTTCACCATGTTGGCCAGGCTGGTCTTGAACTCCTGACCTTAAGTGATCCACCCACCTCCCAAAGTGCTGGGATTACAGGTAACAGGTGCCTGCCATCACACCCAGCTAATTTTTCTATTTTTAGTAGAGACAGGGTTTCACCATGTTGGCCAGGCTGGTCTTGAACTCCTGACCTTAAGTGATCCACCCACCTCCCAAAGTGCTGGGATTACAGGCATAAGCCACTGTGCCCAGCCTACAACAATGTTATCTATAGGAGCAACTGGTTAGAAATCTTGTGGCCTCTGGCTACATAATTCCTGAGCTATAGTATCTAATCTTGTGGCTAATTTGTTAGTCTTACAAAGACTATAAAGTCTTACAAAGGAGGTCTGATTCCCAAGCAAGGAGGTGATTTGTTTTAGGAAGGGACTGTCATCTTTGTTTCAAAGTTAAATAGTAAACTAAATTCCTCCCATAGTTAGCTTGGCCTGTGCCCAGGAATGAGCAAGGGCAGCTTGGAGGTTAGAAGCAAGATGGAGTCAGTTAGGTCAGAATTATCATAATTTTTGTAAAGGCAGTTTCAGTAGCACAAGAGGCAAAGTGGGTCCTACTGCTCTTTACTTTAATCCTAGAATGTCAGAGCCTAGGGGAAGGGGGAGGGATGGCATTGGGAGTTATACCTGATGTAAATGATGAGTTGATGGGTGCTGACGAGTTGATGGGTGCAGCACGCCAACATGGCACATGTATACGTATGTAACAAACCTGCACGTTGTGCACATGTACCCTAGAACTTAAAGTATAATAAAATTTAAAAAAAGAAAGAAACTTGAAAAAAAAAAAAAAAAAAAAAGAACGTCAGAGCCAGATGAGACCCAGCAGGACAAGTCTCTTGTGGTTTCTAAATAATTGTCTTCAGACCCATGCTGTGATAAAGTTCCCACCCCTACTCTACAAAATGAGGACAATGTGGAAAATATAATCAGGTTTTTAATAATTTCATAAAATAGATTCCACTCCATTCTTCTACAAGTATGACCTCCCTTTATGAAAAGATGCTGATAGATAGAGGATAGTTGCTTCAATGCTATTACTTGGACATCATAATTAAAAATTAAAAATCTCAGGTTTAATTTTTTTTACATTTTATGACCTGTGAAAAACAAAAGTCTGGAAACCACTGAATAGTCAAATCTCTCCTTTTATAGTAGAAGCAGTTAAGACTCAGAGGTAGAGAAATGAGTGGTCCAAGATAAAACCCCAGTTTGGTCAGACATTACTGATGGTGGCTCTATGCTGGACATTCCTTCAACTGTCGCTTTTCTGCCTTTGCCTTTTCTTTAAACATGTTCTACTCCACATCAGCACCCCCCAAGCAAACCAGATCCTGTTCAGAGAAGTCTTTTTTAGATCATCTAGATCCTAGCCTATTCTCCCAAATTACCCCCAAATCATTGGCATCTGCCACTATTTCTCCATCCCATCACTACTTTCTCCACCCCAATACCAGACCCTTAGCCCCACCCATTGCCTACTTTTGAGCTTTCTGTTTTACTTCAAAAATTATTATTCAGA